AAAAAATTAACTCAAAGTGGATCAAAGTCCTAAATGTAAGAGACAAAACTATAAAAATCTTAGAAGCAAACATAGAGGTAAATCTTTATGAACTTGGATTTGGCAAGGCATACTCAGGTATGATAACAAGAACACAAGCAACAAAAGAAATTATGATAAATTGGACTTCATCCTAATTTAAAAATGTGTGCATCAAAGACCCTTATGAAAAAAGTGAAAAGATTTCTTCCAAAGAATGGGAGAAAGTATTTGCAAATCAAAATTTGACAAGGATCTATTATCCAGAATATGTAATGAACTGCTACAACTTGACAACAAAAAAGACAACCCAATTTAAAAAAAATAGGCAATGGATTTGAATATACATTTCTGCAAAGAAGATACACAAATGTCCAACAAGAAAAAATGCTCAACATGAAAAGATGCTCAACGTCATTAGTAATTAGGGAAATGAAAATCAAAATCACAATGAGATACCACTTCATACATGATAGGATGGTAATAATAATAACAACAATAGAAAATTACAAGTGTTAGAGAAGATGTGAGGAATTTAGAAGCCTCATAATTGCTAGTGGGAACAAAAAAGGGTACTGCTGCTGTGGAAAACACTTTGGCAGTTCTTCAACAAGTTACATATAGAATTAACCGTATGACCTAGCAATTCTACTCCTAGGTATATACTTGAAAGTCCTGAAAACAGGTACTCAAACAAATACTTACAAAGGCTAACAGCAGCACTACACACAATAGGCAAAAGATGTAAACAACTAAAATGTCATTCATCAGATGAATGGGTAAACAAAATGTGCTGTATCCAGACAATGGAATAGTATTCAGCCATAAAAAAGAATGGAGTACAGGGAATTCCCTTGCGGTCCAGTTGTTAGGACTCCATGCTTTCACTGCTGAGGGCGCAGATTCAATCCTTGATGGGGGAACTAAGATCCCTCAAGCCATGCGTCATGGCCAAAAAAGAATGAAGTATTAATACATACTACAGTGTAAACTAACCTTATTGACATTGTGCTAAGTGCAAGAAGCCAGACACAAATATTTTATCATTCTACTTTATGAAATATAGAGGTAAGTCCATATAGGTAAGTCCATATAGGTAATCCATATAGGTAATATAGGTAAGTCCATAAAGCGGACTAGTGGTTTCCAGGAGCTGAGGAGAGGGGAGAGAATGGGGAATGACTGCTTAGTGGGTATGGGAAATCCTTTCGGGGGGATGAAGTGTTTTGGAACAAGACAGAGGTGATGGCTGCACAACACTGTGAAAATACTAAATGCCACTAAATTGTACACTTGAAAAAGTTAATTTTAGGTGAAGTGAATTTCATATATTTATATAAAGGATTATGAGAGCCAGGTTCCTCAGCAGAGAAAATAGTTATAAGTGTGGAAAGGGAAAAACAGAATAAGTTCTAAGTTCTGTGATGCTGGATTGGGAAAGGAGAAATGTATATATATATATATATATATATATATATATATATATATATATATATATATGTAACAGTGAGCACACCCAGCACCCAAGTTTGCCTTCTAAATACCATTCTCCACTCAAAGGAAGCAGGACTGTTTACTGAAATAGCTGATTCCAGAGCTGGAGCACAGAAAGTACAAGATAAGCATGGGGCGTTTCGTTGGGCCGGTAAGAAAGGAAGTGCTCAAAGAATAGAAAGAACATATGGGACTTCTCTGGTGGTCCAGTGGTTAGGAATCCGCCTTCGTAGGGGATACAGGTTCAATCCCTGGTCAGGGAACTAAGATCCCATATGCATGCCGCAGCTAAGCCTGCGTGCTCTAGAGCCCACGTGCCACAATGATGCAGCCAAATAAATATTAAAAAAAAAAAAAGAACATAGAAGCCAGCCTGAAGAGACTATGACTGGCCAAATCTGGGGTAAATTGAGCATCAAAGTAAATAATGATAATAATGGATTATAACTTAATGAATAAAAAAAGGAAAATACAAGTTCACACAGATAATAAATAAATAAATAAATTGGAAGTTTGATAAGAAACCAGATATTGACATAGTCTCAAAGTACCTTTCCACAAAATATTTACTAATTTCCAAGGGAAAATGAATAACTTAGGTGAGAAGCCTAACGAACACTTCTTAGTCAAGTAATCAAAGTGATGGGACAACAAAAAAAAAGAGTGATGGGACACTAGTAAAGAGACAAAGCAAAATCACTCATCCCTCATAGGTTGTAATAAGAACACAGCATGACTTCTGCGATATTCCTGGCAAACTGACACAGATGCATCACCTGAATCTAATCATCATGAAACATCTGACAAATCCAAACTGAAGGACATTCTACAAAATAATTGGCCAATAATTTTTTAAAGTTCCAAGATAATCAAAATCAAGGAGAAACTCTTCCAGATCAAAAGAGCCTAAAGACACATGACGACTAAATGCAACACATGGTCTTTTTGTTTGTTTAAGATTTTTTTGATGTGGATCATCATTGAATTTGTTACAATATTGCTTCTGTTTTATGTTTGGGTGTTTTTTTTTTTTTTTCGGCCACGAGGCATGTGGGATCTTAGCTCCCCATCCAGGGATCGAACTGGCACCCCCTGCATTGGAAGGCGAAGTCTTAACCACTGGACCACCAGGGAAGACCCACAACACATGTTTTTGAAGCAGATTCTCTTTCTATGAGACTTTCTTGGGACATATGGCAAAACTTGAGTAGAGGCTAAAGATTTGATTCTAACAATGTATTGACGTGTATCAATTTTAGTGACTGTATGGCAGTATTGGAGGGAATGTCTTTGTAGAAAATACACACAAATATTAAGGTGGGCATCAGGTTGGCAACTTACCCGGTTTCCTCAAACCGTCAGGGGAAAAAAAAGTCCTTTATAGTATACTTGCAACTTTAGTGTAAGTTTGAGATTTTTCAAGAAGTTAAAAAGGTGTTTAAAGTTAAATTTTTAAAAAAGTTAAAATAGAAAAACTATTATATGTGGCTTCCCTGGTGGCGCAGTGGTTAAGAATCCACCTACCAACACAGGGGACACGGGTTCGAGCCCTGGCCCAGGAAGATCCCACGTGCCGCGGAGCAACTAAGCCCATGCGCCACAACTACTGAGCCCGCGCTCTAGAGCCCGCGTGCCACAACTACTGAGCCCACATGCCACAACTACTGAAGCCCGCATGCCTAGAGCCCGTGCTCTGCAATAAGAGAAGCCACTGAACTGAGAAGCCCGTGAACCGCAACGAAGAGTAGCCCCCGCTCGCCACAACCAGAGAAAGCCCACACACAGCAACGAAGACCCAACGCAGCCCAAATAAAAATAAATAAATAAACAAACTTTATATTTAAAAAAAGAACTATTATATGTAGCAGAATATCTTTTTGTCCTCTGGATAAGAAGCAATTTTTAAAAATTAGATCTCAATAAGAGGTCATACCAAAATAAAAGATTGATATACCTGACTACATGAACACTAACACCAAAAATAAAGAAGACAAACCACAAACTAGGAGAAGGTATTGTAATAAATATAGCTGACAATAGATCAGCAAATTATATAAGAACTCCTACATTAACTAGAAAAAGTCAGTAGAAAAGTGAACAAAAGGCATTCATGGGAAACCTGAATGCAGTAAAAAATATGGAAAGAAATGTTAGAGGAATGCAAATTGACTACAGTGAAATATCATTGTTTACCCATACACTAGCAAAAATGAAGACGTCTGACAATATCAACTGTTAGGAGGATGTGGATCAATAGGAACACTTCAACTCTGCTGATGAACATGTAATGTGTTACAACTTTGGAAAACAATTTGGCACGATTTTGTAAAGGTAAGTCTTTGAAGATCTCATGACTCAGCAATTCCACTTCAAGGTAATGAGCCATAGCTCCTCAATATAACAACTGGAGACAAACAGAAAAAATATTCAAAAGAGCACTGTTTGCTAGAGCAAAAACTGGGAGCAACCCCAATAACTTATTCTCACAATGGAATATAATATAGCAGCGCAAATGAATGAACCACAGTCAAACAGAGCAATATGGGTGTTTAGAAACATAATGTTGAGTGAAAAACACCCTCAGAATATTAAGTACAGTCTGATATGTTTATCAAGTTCAAAAAAAGCAAAACAAAACAATACACTGATTATGTAAAAATGTGATGAAATTATTTTTATAAGCAATGAAATGATAAACACAAAATTCAACAATATAGTTTCATCCGGGGAGCAGTGATGTGATGGAGAGTACCTACAGGCAGGTATAAGCTATTGGTGCCATATGGTTCTTGAACTGAGTAGTGTGCACATGAGTGTCCATACAATATAGTGTTTTATAGCTTACATGCATTGTACACATAATCTTTTGCTTGTAATAATTATTATACTGTATTAAAATGTACAGCAAAAAAATCTGAATATTCATGATAATTTCCAATTTGAAAATAAAAGATGGAGTAAAGAAATATAAGTTACAGAGAGAGAAATAAAAAGTAGATCTGAACTTGACAGGGAAAGAATAGGGTGCAAGAAAAAGCAGAAATGCCTCTCTGTATAAAATACTGTTCAAGGTGCTGGGAGGATATAAAGATGAATAAAACACACCTTTGCCCTCAAGAAGCCCTCATCCCAGGGAAGAAAGTCAAAGAGAAAGGCAAAAACCCATGAGGTGACAGCTTTGGACTGAACCCATGCCTCAAATCTGGACCACTAATAGACATGGCCCTGCCCTCTGACCTTGGTTCCCCAACCATACTATTAGCATCTTCTTCTCAGCCATATCATCCAAATGATGTAAAGATTAGGCTGGGAAAGTAGAATACTTTTCAGATTATCCAAGGAATTTTTCTAGAAAAGGAATAAATCCAAAGGGAAAATACTTTTATGGGAAATATTTAGAAAAATGTTAAAAGTGAGAACACTTCCCAAATACCGCGGTGAAGGAGGCAGAGAGGCAGGGAGCAGAAAAGAATGTGATTGTTCCAAAGTTGAGATGAAAGTGTTAGGCTGCAATTCAATTGAGAGAACATTAAAATGTAAGAGTTGATAGGATTATTAAAGTTGGAACACTTAAACAGGTTTTATATAAAGAAGTTGTGTGTCTTTTTAACTGAGTATTTTATGGAAATGGATATTATGTTTGGCTGTAGGAATACCACAAACAGGAATTTCTGGAACTCCTTGGTCTTTACCTAGTATTGTAAAGACAAAAATCTATTAATAAAGTCCTAATGGAGGCTATAAAAAAAAAGATGAAAGTGTTGAGCATTCATCACAGATATTCATCCATAGATGAGGAACTCTCTTAAGTTTCCCCTTGTGATTGTGGGAGACCCTGAGTTTCAAACCCCACCCATATCTCCTGCCTCGAAACTTGGAGTCAGAGGAACAATCTCATGGCCAAGCTCTGCCCCTCCCTTGCTGTTCATCATTGAGCAGGTCACTTCTCTCTGAGTTTTCTCATTTGTAAAACTGTTTAATATAAAAGAACATATCCATTGTCAGTTTTGTGAGAATGAGATAAAAGTGCGAAAGTGCCTAACACAATACCTGCCACAGGAGTAGGTCCATAGAAATATTAGTTTAATCTCAACGGCTACACTCCATAAAGACTTTCCTCCACTTCTCACATGGGGAAACAAAAGTTCAGAGAGAAGATTTGTCATTTAAAGTCAACCTATTTTAAGTTCACTTCCTGCTGAAAATCACTAGGTGCTTGCCTAATCTCTTCATGGCTGCCTGTATCTCCTGGTTCCTCAGGGTTTAGATGATGGGGTTGAGCATGGCGATCATGACAGTTTGGCTGATGGGCACAGCCTTGTCCATGGGGAAGGAGGTGAAGGGCCAGGCATAGACATAGATACAGGGAATGAAGACCATAGACATGACGATGATGTGGGTGGTGCAGGTGGAAGCTGCCTTCCTCCTCGCCTGCCCTGAGTGGGACCTCAGCATCATCAGGATGACAGTGTAAGAGAGCAGAAGGAAAGGAACCAGATGAGGACCAACATTCCACTGTTGGAGATCATACGGACCTCCAGGAGGGAGGTGTCCATGCAGGCAAGTCTTAGCACTTGTGGAACATCACAGTAGAAGTTATCCAGGATGTTGGGGCCACAAAAAGGCAATGGGAGCATCAGAACCAGCTGGACAATGGAGTGGAGAAAGCCCCCTACCCAAGCGGTCACCACCAGCCCTACACACATTTGAGTGTTCATGATGGAGACATAGTAGAGGGGCCGGGAGATGGCTATGTAGCGGTCATAGGCCAATACTGTGAGGAAGAAGACAGTCCCACCCCCCAGTAAGTGGAAGAAGAAGATCTGGGCCATGCAGCCCTGGTAGGAGATGATCTTGGTCTCATGTAAGAAGTCCACCAGCATCTCTGGGGAAGTGACTGTAGAAGAGCAGATGTCTATGACAGACTGATTTCAGAGCAGAAAATACATGGGTGTGTGGAGCCGAGAGTCAAAAGTCACTGTGACAATGATAAGGAGGGTTCCCACAACGGTGGTGACATAGACAAATAGGAATACCACAAACAGGAATTTCTGGAACTCCTTGGTCTGTGAGAACCCCAAGAGGACGAACTCTGACACCTGTGTGATGTTCTGTCGTTCCATGGGATCTTCCTCACATGCCTAGAAGAGAAAATATGCAAAACAAAAACCATAAAAATTTACTCATTCTCCTTTGGAGAGTCAGGATTGAGTTAATCAAAGTCTTTGTTGAGTACCATTCCCAAATGGAGCTTAGAAGAGCCTTCCATGGAGATAAATACATTTTCAAGGCTTTCACAGACTTATCTCCCTAACCATACCCTACATCGTATGGCATTTATGGGTCTTTTTCCCTTTGTACCATGCTGTCCTTGTCCATGGGTTTCATGTCTGACTCACACTTGCTGTGCCTGTGAACCACAGGCTCTACAGATATAGATGAACCAATCAATGGATGAATACACATGTCACCAAGTACCTATGACCACAAACATCATCAACCTAGGTGCATCAATCTTGAGAGGATATAGAGGTTAATGATTTTAGATAAACAAATAGAGACTTCTTTTCAGTGAACATTTGAGGGGCTGCCTATGGTTCATTGCTGAAGAAAGAGAGATGTGTATTAGAAGAAATTGTCATGTACAAATTCAGAGGCAAATGTGAAGAAAACCAAGCAGATGATTTTGGCTGTAGTGAAGCTGGGATGATTAGAGCTTCTGAAACTTTTCCACATAAATACTTCTTGAATGGCATTTGTTGCCATGGGGCCATCTGCAGGGGTAACTCAAAGCAGCCCAGGACAAATGCAAAATCTCCTTGAACTCTCATGTTTTATATTTTAAAACTTATGTGAATTTTCTATTAAACACATATCTCTAGACAATCTTTGGGAGGCTTAAAATTTAAGTATTGTGGCTTGTAAAACTTTGTAAGACCAAGGTGTTAAAGAAAATATAGGATAGGTGAGGGAGGGGGATCAATATGGCAGAGGAGTAGGATGTGGAGTTCACCTTCTCCCACAAAAACATTGAAAATACATCTACAGGTGGAACGATTCACACAGAACAGCTACTGAACGCTGACAGAAGACCTCAGACATCCGAAAAGACAAGGAAACCCCCATGTAACCGGTAAATGATATTCAATTAATAAATACAAACTGGAAATCACAACTGTCAAGAACATTTAAAAATATATATCTGTAAATACCACTCTATGAGAAAAAGGACAAAAACAAAAGGTGAAGTATCATTGACTGATACGTTAAAAATAAATGACGCATATTCTCTAGTAATCAAATAAATTTAAATTCAAATTCAAATCAGCTTAAAAAAATCCACTTGTAAAGGATTATTGAGATAGGCCTTCTCACACCCTGGCGGCAAAAGTATAAATTAATATACTTTATCTAGAATGCAACTTATTAACCTATGTCTGAGTTTTAAAAATATGTATTGTGACTTCAGGAACTTGAGCCTGTAAATATACTATAAAATGTAAACAAACACTTATGAAAATAGATGTATAGTTCACTGTTATTTCTAGAAAAAATAGGAAATAATCTAAAATCTAACAATAGAAGAAATAGAAGAGTCTACAATAATTAAGAGTTTCCATTTATTGAGTTTTCATAACATGTCCAATTTTGTCAAGGCCTTTGCAGATGTGATCTTATTTTGTCTTTATAATGACACAGGGAAGAAGGGACTCTTCACATTTTATATTTGAGAGATTTCTATCATAGAGAGTAGGGACATAGTGGGCATTACCAAACTCACACGTGGTAAGGTTTGTATTCATGTGATTAAAAAGTAACTGTTCTTCAATATTACGTACTTCTTTCCTCTATAGTAATACTATGCATCCTTTTAAATGAGCTGTTCATTTTATTGAATCATCACTGAATTGACCTAGAAATAATGCTGGTGAAGCGTAAGCGTTATTTCATTAAAGTTTGGTCATTGATATGGAAAATATATATGACAGGGAAGAAACATGTTTCTTTAGTTCAGTAAGTGAAAGTTCTAGAAGACATCCACTTAAACTGAGTTCTTTGGTGTTAAAATCCATTCCCTCAGATTACACTTTTCCAGAATTGTTTTCAGTAATTGTTCAGGAAATTTTGCCCTGAGGCCCCACCCTGCAAAGATAATAGAACATAGAAAGATCCCCACCTGAAGTATGGGAAGGGCAGCAGCAAATGCACTGAAGTTCTTTTTACAAGGGAACTGAATGAATATATGTAAAAAGATTTCTATCAACTTCTGTAGACAAATATAAAACAATTCTCTCTAAAATTATCTGTGAGCTATTACAGTACTCAAAATATTACCACGTTTATCTCATCTAAAACTCACATTTATCCTCAAATATTTGTGTAAAAATGATGTTGCGGGGGCTTCCCTGGTGGCGCAGTGGTTGAGAGTCCGCCTGCCGATGCAGGGGACACGGGTTCGTGCCCCGGTTCGGGAGGATCCCACATGCCGCGGAGCGGCTGGGCCCGTGAGCCATGGCCGCTGAGCCTGCGCGTCCGGAGCCTGTGCTCCACGGCGGGAGAGGCCACAACAGTGAGAGGCCCGCGTACCGCAAAAAAAAAAAAAAAATGATGTTGCGGGAAGATGCCCTTTATTGTTTATTCAGGCTGCATCTACTCCCTGAATAGTACCATTGGAAAAGCATCCCCATGGGCCATTGAGACCCCCACAAGACTTTTGGAGGGAAATGATGTGATGAAACAGGGTTAAAATGGGTTTATCCTAGCACAGTAGGGCAGGAAGCCCTGAGACAGGCAAGAGCGGAACAGCACTTCTGGGGCGTTGTCAGAGCAACCCCTACAAAGGGTAATACGCTTTAGTCTGGCTTTGTGTCTTCGCTCCTCCACATGGTGTCAAGGTCAGACTGGGTAGGCAGCAGCTTCAATAGCATGGTTTGGCCTCTCTGAGAAAGCCCCTGACACCTAACCCTTCATTCTCAACTCTCGCACCTGTTCATTGATTCCTAAAATGCCAACGGCATAGCTTGATTATCTCTATTTTTTTTCTTTACTCCTATTACGTTGACAATTACACGCTTTTATATGCTTTTATCAGTCAGAGATGCACCCTGTGCAATGTTATACATAAGTCAACTTCCTAAAAGATATTTTCCCTCTCCTTCAAAGTTTTTTCAAAAAATTTCCATGGTTCTTCATTGTCTACAGGAAAATATTCAGGGTTTTCAGATGGATTTTCAGGGGCTTCCACACAAACTGGCTCCTACCTTTCTTTCCAGACCCACCTGCCACTTAATAGTAGTAGAAGTAGTAAACATTCATTGTAGCAGTAGAGGTAATGATTGTTAACATTTACTGTGCGTTTATTATGTGCTAGGCACTATGCTAAGCATTATCCTGTTTAATTCTCATATATTATTCTCATGCTTATAAAGTATAGTAAGTACTATTAATTATCCCCACTTTACTTTAAGTAAACTGAGACTTAAAAGGGTTAAATAGGGCTTCCCTGGTAGCGCAGTGGTTGAGAGTCCGCCTGCCGATGCAGGGGACACGGGTTTGTGTCCCGGTCCGGGAGGATCCCACATGCCGCGGAGCGGCTGGGCCCGTGAGCCATGGCCGCTGAGCCTGCACGTCCGGAGCCTGTGCTCCGCAACATGAGAGGCCGCGGCAGTGAGAGGTCCGCATACAGGAAAAAAAAAAAAAAAAAGAATGCTTGATTGCTTGATCGTGGGTGGAGAGACGGGCAGACCTCTGTGAGAGGTGAGGAGAGAGAGTAGCCACTGAACAGAGGGGTTCAGTTTAAGGGACCTGGAAGGGCATCCAGGCATCCTAGTTCCCAGCAACACCAGGTTTACAATCCTAGAAGCATCATCTTAGCATGGCCAGAATTCTTTCTACAGACTCCTAAATAATCTTTGGAAATGATTGTTTCACCTACATGTCTAGAGAATAGATTTAGAGGGATTCTAGATGGGAAAGAAAATAAAGAAACATGAAGGAGGGGCATGGACATGTGTGGGGTAAGGCAAGGATTCCAGACCCTTTTCTGTTATTACTCAGTCCTGTCTCCCATCTGTCTTGCTCTCAGGAAATTAGTTTACACAGGACAAAGAGAGAGGAGGGGAGGAGATATAAGTGGTTCCAAAAATGGGGGTGAATCTACTCTGTGGTCATCTTGGAAACATTAAGAGTTTTTATTAAACACAAGATTTAAGAGGAAGGAAAACATGGAGGAATAGCAACAGAGAGGGAATAAAAACCTGAAGTGAGTGGGAGAGGCAGCAAGCAGGAGGAAGAGGGAGAAAAGAGGATTAAAAGGGAAACATTAGAGGGTGGGAAGGGAGAGAGAAAGCCCTGGTTTGTTTTCTCTTAGGTGTGGGAAGAAGCTGTAGTACATGTGTGGGAGGTGAAGGAGAAACCGTTCACATCTATATACTGCTCTCCCTCCCACTCTGTCCTAAATTCCACCCAACACATACACCAGTACAGACAAAAGTCTTAGCTCCACATAAAATCAACTGTTTCTCAAATCCCAATCCCCAGCATTCTGCCCAAAGACTTCCCCATAGCTTCCCTCCACCCCATGCTTGTGTTACAATGGGCTTTGGCAAGAACCTTCTCAAGGCTGATTTGTCCATGGGAAGGACCCTGGAGCCATCACCAACCTCCAGCCCAAAGAGGCCAAGGGGACTTAGAGCTTCCCATCATCCAGGCCAGCCTTCTCCTGCAGCTCCATTTTTCTCTTGGCCTCTCTCAGACCAGGAACACATATAGGATTGGTCTTAAGCAGAGGGACATTCCTCGGGGGACAAAACTCAAGCTTAATTCATGAAATATAGCTGGGCTCAGGCTGCTGAGGGCGAGAGCAACGGGAGTTATTAAAAAGTATGTGAACTATTACATCAGATGTACATTATCATTGCGAAACTGTCTTGGGACAAAATACTTCAGGGGCTCTGATCATAGGACCAAGATGAAGAAGGATAAGAGTGCTTAAAGGAAATAAATTCCCAGGGAGTTTTACAAGAGCCAAATTCCCTGAGGTCAGCACCATGGGCAGCGCTCCACCCTCTCCTAACACCGGTCAGTGAAAAAGTGAGCTACGTCCTAGGACCTGGTCCAGGTC